TGTTCTTCTTTCAATTGGGGTTTCCCAGTCAAAGACAAAGGGGAATAGTTACTTAGTTAATTTAACAAGGTTATGTTATGTTGTCTACGAGTACAAAAAATGTTTGTCTGAGATTACTCAGAAAAACTGATAAAAAAAAAAATGCCCAATGTTTTGTGTTTTGAACAAACCCTGATGAATTCTAAACTACATTTGTTTATGTAAAGCTACAAACTTACATTTTTTTGTAGATTTCACTAATTAAACCTCATAATATTTACAAACACTCAGAATCATTTTATCAGCGTATGAAATAGCCTGCAAGGGATGAATTTGAGGTGCTGTTTAAAAATAAAGTTATTGAAAAATAGGTTGGCATAACTCTAGACCTGAATTTTAAATTTTGAATGTTAAAAATAGTTGTAAGAAGGTCAAGCAAGTCTAAATTATTTTCATTTTTATAGAAGATTATCCATATCCAAAAAATTTTGCATGCGCACAATTTTTTTTATTCTTGTCATATTGCATTACATCATGGTCTCAAGCCTCTTTAACCACATTGAAGCTTATTGATAAACAATCAATTAAAGTTATGGATTTAAAGCCTATGTGATGCATCATTGTGAGGTTTTTGCAAGCATAACCTTTTTAGCTTTGATAGTTTCATTAATTTTAGTTATCTTAAATAGTTTTTAAATGCTTGAATAATAATTCTGTTAAATAACACTGCTGTATTTTGATATAATTAGTGGGCATCAGACCTCCCACAGAGAAACACGGGCAACTTCTAATGGTGGCTGTCTTGTTTCAAAGTATAAGACCTTGTTTGGTCAATCTGTCTTCTTTCTTAAGGGAACCAAATTGTGGAATTTTTGCCTGCTAGCCTAAAATTAGTAATGTAAGTATTTTAGTAGTGTACACTACTTCACAAAAGACTTCTCATCAATCCCAGTTGTAAAGCAACAAATACTAACTTGATTTCTAGTTGATCATTTGGTAAATGGAAAGATTTTTTTCCAATGAATCATCTATTAGACTGCATCACAATCATCACAAATACTGCAGGAGAGCTATTGGAACCTGCGTGGACCCATTATTGAAATCAGACAAGTTTGGTGAAGGGAAAATTATGGTTTGGGGTTACATTCAGTATGGGGATGTGCGAAAGATTTGCAGAGTGGATGGCAACATCAACAGCTCGAGGTATCAAGACTTCTGTGCTGCCCTTTACATTACAAATCACAGGAGAGGGCAAATTCTTCAGCAGGATAGCACCTGTCAGACCTTACTCTCCTAATAAAATAATTGAAAACAAAGGCATCATAACATTTTATTTTGGTAAAATAAGCGTAATTTAGAGGCCTTTGCCTTTCATATAAACCACTTCTGATACTAAATGGTCAACTAGAAGTTATTTCACTGTTTTTCCTAAAACTTGTATAGGCAACAACAATGTTGTCAGTGAGTGTACATAAGAAAATTATACAAATTAAAAGAGCACTGTTTAAACAGTCTATTAGTAATTTTTTTTGTCATGTGCTTTTTGCTTTTTACCTTATGGCAATTTTATGAGAATAAATATAATGTTGTGAGAGGACTGACTCAGTAAAGCAATACCTCTCTCTGTTCTGTAGCTAAACAGATGAGATTTGTTTCACTGCTGTGATACATTTTAGCTTGTTACTCAAAAAACAAAAAAAGAGAAAAAAAAGTTACACACTTTTCAATTTATGGTTTCACAGGGCAGAACTGAAATACTGAATTTGTCGACTGAAGTTGAAATTTAATAGAGGACACAAGATTGGAAGATTTGAACAGCTAATAACTTGATATGAGTGACTATAAATGTTTAAATTTAAGAAAATTATATAGCACTGTTGAAATGTTAGCCGTAATGTCTGCCGTATGGACATTCTATGCTTTAACCATCTTTAAGACACATTCTATGCTATATTTAACATTTGAAAATAGACATCTAATAGACATTTTGTCAGATGAGTTAGCACTTTAATAATAAGTCTTTCAAATGTAAACACAAAAATCTAGTAACCATCCTAGTTACTAAGATTTTAATCCACTCTAGAAAATCATTTGAACTCATTATACATCCCTTATTTCATGATCTATACACATTTAAATGCACATGTGATTTTAAATATGCTCTGTTAGTTATAGTTAAATTATCTTCATCCTAAAGTGTTTTCATAACCTTTACATAACATTATCTTGCAGTATCAATATTACAACTATTTTACAGAACTTTTCACAGAAATAAACTGTGACAATACATAATTTTTCACTGATCTTATATGTTACTTTTTTTAAATTGTAATTTTTAATAATAGAGTGTTGATTGTGTGTGTATTTTTTTTAATAAAGTGTTGTAAAAAGCTAAAGTAAAAGTTGGTTATTATATAAATTTACTTATATAAATGGTTTGCAACACTTTGCAATGAACCATTTTTCTGTGAAAAACTGTTTTAACTAGTGTAGCTGTTTTTAATTTAAAAATGTTATTTTTGTATTTATGCAATATGGTTTTATGTTGTCTCTAAATTAAATGTAGCATAATTGTGATGGTGTTGCGCACCTGCTATTTACCTCAGCTTGGGGAAAAGCTACTTGGCACTTGGATTCATCATGGTGGTTTCTCTTTTACCATCTGCCTTAATATAGTGTTTTTCAGTATGGCCACGCTGAGTCAGCAGAAAAGGTTTAGCGTTAGTGGATTTACCAGTTCAAACATTATTTGTCATATTTTTTAACAGTAGCATCACAACCCCGCTGTTATACCTGATAACTGAGACTGTTGATGCGGCCATTTTTATGATTAGCAAGACATTATAAACAAGACATTGTAAGACGTTAATTTAAGTTTTAAACTGGAAAGCTGTACGCAAAGACGCATTAAAATAAGCAAATAATTTAAGTAAAACTTAAATTTGAAAAACTTGAAATTTTGCATTGCATCATTAAAGGGAGAGATCAAACGATTAAGTAAAGTTATTACAACACTATATATCTGGTACTACTAGCGTGTGAGCTATATGTGATGTTTGTCTAGTTTTTGTTTTATTGCTTTAGATTTTTTCAAATGGTTTCCCCACCTAAAGTCTAGGTAAATAAAACAACTGGGGTTTCTACTGAGTTTCTGGATTTGCAGGTTATATTTTATTATCACTGTGTGTTTGTTCAGGTTTCATATTTTCTTTTTTTCATCATTTTTTATGCTTATATAAACGGGGGTGGAAAAGTCTAAAGGTTACTGATAAAATAACAAATTAATTTAGACCCATATGCTGTTGCTATCAAACAGTTTACTTAATCATAAAAATAATATAATTTTAGAAAGTTTCAAAGTAGATTAATCAAACAGCAATTATGTTATAATAATGTATTAACCAACGCAGATAAATAGATAAAATAAATATATTTAAAAGCCTTTTTCTGTTGAGAAAACGAAGCATTATCAAATTAATATGCTAAACTAATCTTTGGCTAATATACAATGATTTAGTTTTTTTTTTTTTTTTTACTAAGAGTCACCGAAATCTTTAATTAGCCAGGAAACAGTACAAGCATTGATAGACAGTCTACCAATACGGTCTAAGCATTGGTCTCCGTCTCTATGGGCACATTATTTACTGAACGAAAATAAAATTTAAGATACGGAGTTTTCAGAAATAAACCAAACAGAACTTGTCTTATCTCATCTTATATCTTAGTTCTTCTTCTTCTTCTTATTATTATTATTATTATTATTATTATTATTATTATTATTATTAATTGTATTTGCATTTGTAAAACCTTTAAATCACTCGATGTATGATCGTGATCAAATATTCGATCCGACTTACTGTAATAAGTATTTGGCCATTTGTTGTTAAATATTACATTGATTTGAATTTAATTAAAGGCTTTATTTTCATTGTACACAAAATACAAAGAAATTGCAGAGCTTCTGCTTGAAAATGATTAAAAAGAACACATATAAACATATATAAGACAAATAAATTTGCAATTAGTAAGCGTATTCGTGCAAGTATTAAATTGTGTTCATTTATTTGTTGGATAACAAGTTGGCTATCAAATTAATCAAACTTGAAAGTTGTTACAGCTAACACGTGCAAAATAAAGCTTGTTGCATTTGACTTTGACTATACTGTTAATGTATTTATCGAAAATATACTTTATCGAAATATAATATATACTAGAAAGGATTACTTTGTTTTAACATAGCCTATTAATTAAAACAATAGGGCACCCTTTCCGGGATCGGGTTGTTTGCTAAAACATCTGCTTGCAATGTGTACTCAATATTAAATTTCTAATCTATCAAATTAATTTTATTACATTAATTATATTTTTATACATAGCACAGAAATGCACTCTGTTGTCACAGACGAAGAGGAAGAGTTGAAAGGTTGCATTACGGGCCTTCATAAACACTCCATTTTTAGGTGTATTTCGAAAAATTTACTCCTCAATTAAATATAAGGTAAATATCGTTTCTGGTTTGGCGTATTATTTATATGCAGTTTATTATTGTTAGCCAATATTATCATTTAAAGCGACCCATAAACAGCCATATATCATTAACAACGTTTTAAACAAAATGTAAAAAGTTTTTTTTCTTTTTTCAATATAACCTCGTTTTTCTTATTTGATACTTTTTATGTATTAATTGATTGATTTTATTTCCACTAGTGGCACGAATCCAGCATCAACACAGATAGCATCACTGGAGGCGCCAAATGCGGACAAGCACCATTACGCCCAGTAGCGCACATGAGAAAAAAGCTGAACAGCCTTATCACAGTGCGCACCCCATGAAACATTCTCTTTTTGAGAAATATAAATGTTAAAGCCCCTTTTCTGATAGTTTTAAAAAGCACACTTAAAAATGAAGGGAAAATTAGCATAAAGATAACAATAGTTTATAGAGAAAGTTCAATACACCGTGGCAAAATGTGAAAACTTTTAATCATGTTCTAATGAAAGACAAAGATAGTGAATCCAGCTCTTTTTATACAATACCTTTATTTAGCATATTTACACATGGATTTATAAAAATATATAACTAAAGCTTTATCCGTATTTACATTAACAATTTATTACTTTGTTCACATAAGGTTTATTTAATCTACAAGTCCATGAAATGCCTTTTCATTTTCTTTAAAATGCGTAATTTAGCTTTAAAGTGACGAATCTCACTTTGCATGCAGTCACTGTCATAAATAACATAGACAAAACCAGCATGACACAATGTTTAAATAGCCAACCACCAAACAACGCAGCCTGGAGACAGTTATAGTTACAGTAAGTCATATACATTCATTCAATTTAACCCAGAATTCCCAGAGAGCGTTGAACACGGGCTCTAACACAGTCCAATGATGTGAATTGCTTTAACTTACGGTTTGCTTTGTTGAAATGGGATAATGTCTATAACGGACGTGTCAGTGCTGTTACGAGGATGAGGTAGAAAGGCTGAGTCCGTGTATACCAGACAAGGCTTCGTGCTGCTGCTTGCTAAGGGGACTCGGTGGTTTTCTGTCTCCTGTGGAGGACAAGCAGAAGAGCATATTTAAAGAGAAAACACGTCGTAACTCTCCGCATGTTCATTAACGCACTGTTCTTTCTGTTAAAAAAGTTCCACGTAATGTAAACCTATAGAATTTGGGTATGCTCTAAATAGTACTTAAATCAAATTTCATAATATATCAAATGCATTTCCTAAAAATGAACAAAATATATTCTAAAAAGGACTTTCGGAACGTATTAAGTCTTTTTATATCTCCCGAAAATTATCTTTATTCAATAATGTAGCCTATATCATTTATTTTTAACTATTAATTTATGAAGATTCTGTTAAGCTAATGTGCCATGTTTAAAATGTGCAAACGGCATTAGTCATTATTAAGCCCAGTAATGCACTCATGTAGATTGATTAAAATGTTGATTCAGATAAGCATGTAGGCCTCAGCTGAGATAAGACTTTAATTTTAATTTATTAATTTGGGGAGATAAACTCTTCTGTTAAGCTAATGTGAAATGTTTAAAATGTGAAAACGGCATTAATCATTATTAGTAATGCGTTCATGTAGAAGTAATAAAATGTTGATGCAGGTAGCATAGGCCACTGTTGAGATCATGCTTTACCCTGCATGTATGACCTCATTCTCATACCAAATTTATGTGCATTCCTAATGATTTGTAGAAGAACAATAATGGTGTTTTATTTGAGAGCAAACGCAAATTTCATCCACATTGGCTGACAGTAATTATCGGACTGATAGCAAAGTATAACTGTGCATACCATCTCGTACTGCATGTTTGAACGCCATAGAAGAATGGATGTCACTCGGGTGCATCGCTACGCCACCGCCAGGGTGGGTAAGACTAGTGCCCTGGGCCTGCCAATGGTGACCTGGACTCACATAACCGCCTGCTGGACCACTGTACACGCCGTATTGGTTGGAGGGAGAGTACGCGCACGCCGGGACATAGCTAGACAGGGTCGACGAAGGCTAAAGGAAAATCAGAAAAAAGCCCATCAATACCAAAGAGCAGACAAAGAGAGGAGAAGCAGGAAAATACAATATGCAAATTATACATAACAAGATAACACATTATCCGTGCTTGGCTATATTTTTAACACACATTCAACAGAACTATTAATAACCTAATAAATAAACTTTAGACTATAAAACGATCATATTTTTGGAACGATATGAATTTACATCGTGCTTACGTGTGTAATTACACAGATAGGCCTACATAAAATATTGTGGTTTTTAAGATATCTATCTGAAAGAATACAATACAAGTTTATAATTGATAAAGTACCTGAGGGTATTTTATGTCTGCATCAATGGATGATTTGTCTATTCCATTGACTCCATGACTTTGAAATGTCGCTCTATTGACACCCCAATCCTCCATTTTCGGTGCGTATCCTTCAGCGCTAGCAATAGCTAGAAAAATAATGAATGAGAGAAACCAATTGAGAATTACCTCAAGCTGAATAAGGATTACTTTTGGAAATAACTAATGCCCAATTTAATATTCTTCCATTTCATTTAATTTTGTAAACTTTATAATAGTCTTCAAAACACAAGTGTAAAGCGCTTTTTAAACACGGTAAATAGTATTAAACGAAATAAGTAGCCTATTAATATGTATAAACTGAATATGCATACATGTTTGCTTTAAGTCCATTATCCAAATCCAAAAGTCCAAATAAACATATCAGTTTACAGTGATAATTTACAAAGTAAAAGAAAATTTTATATATTCGAATATAGCATTTTGACAATGTATTTAACAAAACAACAAAAAGTATTAAACTACATGAAGGGCTTAACGTGTGATAAACATTTATTCGTTAATCCCGACAAAGTTAAATATAGGATTCACATTAAATATAGGCTATATTTTGCATGTGTATTCGTATAAACAGTGGTTGGTTACAGAAATCCAAAACAATATAATCTGCTTAATCTATCTAAAACAGTTATTCAGTCCACTAAAATACCTACATTTTGCTAAACTATTTAAATTGATCAAATGTATTTAGCCTAATGTTAAAGCCGCGATTTTCTTTTTACTTTCTGCTATACCGTAAAGCTGAAGGCCTATTTAGTATATTGGGCAAGAGTTATTGTCTGTGTTTTATTAAATTCAGTACTATTTAAACATTTTCTAAAGATATTTAGGCCTGCATAGCCTATTGTGGTAACTGTTTAGGTCTCGTCATTTTGTTTTGTGCAAATCACTCTGTAGTTTGTTGTCTAAAACACTTTGAGTCTCACCTGTAGGATCCATGAAAGCCCGAATGCCCAATATATTGCTGACCGTATGGGCTGAAGGCCAACCACGGGAAATGCTTACATGCCCACCCGTTACAGGGACACCAGGAGGACTGCTCATTTTTGTCCCGGAAGGAGACATTGCATTGGGGTATGAATACGGGTATATGTGGTTATAGGAAAGGCTGGACTGCGGTGGTGCTTGCTTGCCATTTTCATATGGGTTAGGTTGGGAGAGGTTTCCAATCTTGTTCCTTAATATCCGGCTGATAGAGCTGACCGAAGGCACGTTGTACTTATCACATACTCCGTCCGCGAGGAGACGGTCCCGGATCTCCCATGCAAAAATTCCCGGGTCACTTTGTTTGTAGTCCCGTATGTTTTTCACTACATTTGGCGTCGTAACTCGTGGTTTGCTGCCACCGATGGCACCGGGCAAAATGGACCCTGTTTCGTTGTATCTCGCAAGGATTTTACTCACACAACCATGAGAGACCCGAAGCTGTCTGCTTATGTCACATGGTCGGATGCCAAGCTGGGCTAACTCCACTATTCGTAATCTTATTGCGTTGGGCAAAGGGCGTCCATTGACAAAAACTCCCCCCAGCTGGTTCACCTCCCCGTATGTTTGCTCTGCAAGACACGAAAGCATTCAACTTAGGCAATGGAAAATAAATGTCGTAAAACAGCATGGCACATATAACACACATGACCTAAATCAAAGATGTTCACACAAACATGTCGAGCTTCTTTCTCATTAACTGTTCTTTTAAGGTGTTTTAACACTCGAATTTGTCTTCGATATGTTCCTGGATTAATATAGCGGATGCTATCCAATGGAAACTTTATTTTTATAATCTGCATGCTCATAACTAAAGCAATAATTTACAGTTAAATCTGAGGTTCTAGTTTATGTTAATTTTGACATCAATAAAGCAGCATTCTGCAAAGGAAGCATGCAGATGTTATCGAGATCTTACCCATTTGCTTTTGCGATGCGTCTATGTTAAAGTGTCCCTTCAATGGCTGAACAATGCAGTCCGCAGTATAACTGTGTAGAGATGTTCCGAAGACTTTTGCAACTTTTTTTTCTGCCCGGTAGCAAAACTTCTACATGCCAAACTTCTCTATGGTAGAATGGGACAAGAGTGATCCTCTCCCGTTAAAGAGGGATTTGTCTGATCCCGCAGGGTGATGTTTGCTGGAGTTAATTTGACGCGTCATCCACGTCAGTCTAACTGGTTATGCGGAGAGCAATGGGTTGATCTCATTGGTTCAGGAGTCTTCGGATAGGTTGTGTGTGTGTGTGTGTATGATCCATCCAGTATGCATAAAGCAACTTTTAATATGCCAATTCAATTCAGATGAGACTGAAAGAGCAAATATTGGTTAAAAACTTGCTAAAAACTAGAACTGATAGGGAGCAATATATGCAATAAAAAAAAATCCAGATTAGTGGTCTCAGATAAAAGAAACTTGTTTAAGCCACTACGTTGAGGAGTAGCATGTAGGTTTATATTTTTGCAATAAACATTAAACATTTATTTTGTCATGCACATATACCCTGAATGCCTATATCATTTTCTGACAGAAAACATGTTGAGCAAATGTGCAAAGAAGCCTAATAAGCTTAGTCAAGGGAAAACTTGATTTAACCATGCATGCGACAAAAGCACCGATAATAACAAATGTAAGAAAAATACTATGGATTTAAAGTACGCTAATTACTATAATGTTTTGAACCATACTATTGTAAAGTTTAACATATTTTTATAAATTGTAATGTTTACAACTTAATGACTGCTACAGCATACTGCATTTAATTATAGCGAAAAACCATAATAAATACTTTCCTTTTTTTTCTACATTTCGTTTTTACTACATTAAACTGTAGTGTATTGTAGTATAAAATGATAGAAGAAAACTTAGCAGACTACACTATTTATTATAATTATATGGTTGCCATAACCACAACATATTCAAGTGCTTTACTGGCTCCAAAAACACTATTGGTTTTACTATAATTACTAAATTTTCATGATAACACCTGAAATATCAAGTGCTTTATTTACTTCATAGTTCTTAAATGTCTAAAATGATATAACTACCTATTAAATATTTGCTGCTGGTTGACACAAGTTTTATTGATTCATAATTATATATTTTTAGTTTAATCTAGTTTGGTGGACTAACAATGCTTTGTTGGCGGTTCATTCTGCTGTGGCGAAATAGAGACTAAACCAAAGGAAAATAATAAATGAATGATATTGTTCCATTAATGTAAAGAAGATTCGATAAACTGTGGAATAGAGAAATATGATTTTTATAAATTCGTTAAGCTATGGACACTTGGGTAAACCTAATTAATTTATCAGAGCATGTGCTTCAAAGAAGACCCGGTATCTTGCACGTTAATGGAGTTTATCAGTACTGACTGGACTCCAAAGGTCAACACTATCACATCATGCACACAGAGTTTCCTGTGGAAGTAAAGAAGGTATAGTTTATTAGCTCACAAAATGTCACTAGTAAAAGTTTACAGACGACCCAATAGAACAAGAAGTGGTGTCACCATCCGTACATGTGTGAAGCTCAAACGTCTTTACGTCAACACACGAAAAGTATCCTTCAAGATCACTCAACATGTGGTCGAACTGCTGGCTTAAACGAATAAGCTAAAGTGTCCAGTCTGGTGTGTAGCGTGAGAAGAGGCAACTAATAGTTTGTGAGGGGCATGGAGTGCCACAAATTAGCGCCATTGAAAATAGACATGGACATCACATAAGTATTACACGGTGTGTAAAAAAGCTGTTATCGTGTAACCTTGAATATCGTTTCAAGGTGAGTGTTGTGCGTCAGAATTAAACCTTTCAAAAAGTCAGTTTAAAGTCGTGGTGGTCAAAACCTATTAAAGGGAACATTTTTCAGCACAGAGCCAAAAGTCTCCCTCCTCTGGATAAACAAGGAAATTACACTTTGTGGTCATATTTTGTGTATACACAATGAGGAAAGCAGAGGGAAACGGCTATCAAAATTTGCTTCACTGGCACATTTGTGAAACCTCATACAGACGACGAACTCACTTCCCCGGAGTCTTGCACGGGATATCCAGGTATGCAGGTGATCTCATGAGCTTTTATCGACTTAAATTTCAATAAAAAGAATGCTGCGTAAACATGTAGGAGCTCAACTCCTGCAGTTAGGCAGATCCGTATAACTGCACGTTTTAGTTATAAATGTTACTACACGCGAAAAGTATTAAATGATATAATGATTTGCAAAGAAAATAAATTTACAAGAAACTGTGTTTATTACAGAGATAGCCTATTTAGAATGGTTCCGTTTAAAATTCGAGAAAACGAGAAAGAAATAAGAGTGAGAGTACATCAAATTTTTCTTGATCTTTCTTGACAATGTGTTTAGTGGCAGATAAACACTTGACATGCTCAATTCACGTTTTTATTCTTCAGTTTAAAATACATCTAGCGCACAGCAATAGAAGCAAAAAAATGACAATCGCATGACATGTTGTATGGTTATGACACTTATTTCGCTTTTTAACGTTTTGTAACAAAATACCACAGTACTACTGTGAAGTATTAATAGATGAGTGCTGTTTTTTTAGTGCATGACATTTCTTCATATAAGTGAAGATATTTTATTATTATAATTTTAATGGATTTTTTATTTTTTAATTCTGAATATTAAAGTGATATAATTTATTTCCAAGAGGCGAGTGTGGCGTTAATGTCCAATTTAGGAGTCCATATAAATAAAGGACAGCCAATGTTTTCTACCTGAGTAATCATAGGTAACCAAGTAACATATAGGCTATTCGGATATGATTTACTGGTTGAGTGTACATACCTACATTTAAAATAAAGCGTATAATATTTAACTCAGATTTTAATTCTTTGTTATAATAGATCAAGTATTTAGCAAATGCACAGGCGTCTTATTTATTTACTTACTTTCTTATTTAATCAATATTATTGTATATTTTTAACAGAATAGCTACCATGTTGTGTTTGTAATTGTTTTGTTAAAAGTGTACTTCTCTGAATTAATCCTAATACTTTTCTGCTGTAATTCAGAGCCGGTAATTCACACAATATAAACCGATGTTCAGTAATTAAGATGAAGCAGTGGTCATAGAAGAAGGATACCTCACGCGCTTTTCCCATTATCTGGAGTCTTTCAAGGACACCTGACCTAACGTTTGTCAAAAGACTGATCGAGATTCACATATAAAAATTAGTACACTGCACGAAGCGTAAATCTGTATTGTTGTCTTGTTATTAAATAAACTTAAAAAAATAATAATAACATCGAATCTATGTAAATGGATTAGCTTAGTAACTGCAACTATTTTTTTCGGGTTAAATCGGGTATGCGGCTGTGTGCACGTTAAACATTATTGAATAAATGTCTGCAGATCAACGTATTTAACACACCTAAAAGTATCTAATTTCCAGATATTTTTTTTGCAATACAGTAACAACGTGCAACTGCAAAACTAAATATGTCGTGTCAAATCGTTTTAAATCACGGATGTCATATGTCTGATTTTTACATTCTATCAATTTTCTTGCATACATGGACGGCATGTGGACGATTTTATTAAAGACCTGTTGTGTCTAGCTTTTGATTTAGTGTTGTGAGTTTTGTGATCTCACTGTATGGAAATTATGAGACTATAGGCCTGGACTGCGTATTTTCAGCAGACGAGAGTCGACATGAGGTGAAAAACACAAAGCCTAAGTGTTCGAAAGACAGTCTATGATTCATGTCGTAAAATAGGGATCATGGTCGCTCTGAAATTTTTAAAATAACGTTTAATAACAACCCGATCATCTTAATCGGTGCCTTTCACTTAAGTTTTCCAAATTTGTTGATGTGCTTCTCCGTATACAGGTCGAATATGTCAGTTTTTGTCCTACCCGATAAAAGACGAAAGGCTTCCAGTATCAAAAAAAAAAAAAAAAAAAAATTCTGAGTGCAGCCGGTTTTATGGTTTGAAGGCTCCACCTCACGTTCTGCAAAGCAAACGTCAGTGTAAAGCCTGGTTCATGGCCTTTGTAAAATGTTTCCTATTTGGGGGAAAAGGTTGTCTTGTTGTTTTAGTAGTTGAGGAAATGTCGAACATACTGAACATATAGCTACTGTATTGCAAAGTCTATTGCAATTGACAAATTATTGTCTTTGCGAAATGTTAATTATTTGATGAGCATGCGTGCATAATTTTTTAAAACTGTAAATAGTCAATGAATTATGTATTTGAAGTCAGCATACAACGGAAGTTTAAATATTGAAACGGTCCTGAAATTAAAAGGAAATGTGTGTGGAGGTGCATGATTTCGTCTTTTACCAACTGATTGGATTGTTGGAAGATGAGTAAAAACGACACATGCCCTGATAGCTCCTCCCGAAAGGCATCCCATCTGACCAGAAATTAAGAAAGTAATTTCAAGGCGGAGAGAAGGTTAATGTATTTATTAATGTATAGGTTAATGTATTAATGGATTCTTAGGCCAAATATTTTTTTTTTTTACAAAATAATGAAGTTCACAGATACATTATTTACAATACGCACTAGATTACACATAAAAAAATAGATTTAAAAAAAAAAAACTTTAAATAGGGTGAATATAGACAACTCAAGAAGTGGAAAATAAAATAAAATACAGTGGGTGTTGTTGCCAAAGTATTTTTGCAGCATGCA